GACTTTACCGATCCAAAAGAACTTGTTATTACACGATATCCTCGATGAGCCATCGATATCTCGAGGAATCCCCACATATAGTTTTTGAAGAACCTTCGTGTCAAAACTGCCATTCTTAGTTATTGGTAGGCTGTTGCCAAAGTCTATGTAAATTTTCCTTTTCTTTTTATCCACTATGAATGGTGCACTCTGAACGTTTGGAGATTGTCTATGAAGCATTCGACCATGGCTGAAAAAGGGTGGAGATTTGACGCCCATTAGTCCAATGGTGCCTGTGTGGAAGAAATTAGTTGTTCTTATGTAAAGTGAGTTATAGTTTTGATGTGCAGTCATCATGTATAAAAATTTGATATATTATATGCCAATGCAGTAGAAAAAATGCCAAATTTTTATAGACGGGGTGCAATGTATTCAATATACCTGTAATGCGTCCGTAGGTAAAAGTGCTCTTTTTAAAGTCGTCCTCATACATGTCAACATTAAACCTTATGGACAATTTGTCGCTGTGAACGTTCCTTTTATTCATCTCTTTTTTCCATTCTTCAATGAATGGAGAAGTGGCCTTGTCATGGATCCATGTTAATCCTGTCAAGACCGATTGAAAGACTGCACCCTCTGAGTCACCATCAATCATTTTAGGCCAAAAGTACTGCGATGGAGTAGGAGTGAAGTCCGCGGAAAAGAAATCTCCAATCCGAAGTTTCCAGCCCCAGATCTTAGCAAAGAATTGTGCCTGAGGATCAAGGTCCACACATTTGGCTAAAGTTCTGTTCCCACCTGAAAAAGGAAAAAAATGAGAGTTAGCTAAACAAAAGGTGCACCTAAAAAAATGAATGGATGAATTGGTGAGTAAAGAGTAAGTAGCAGTAACAAGATTCTATCGTTAAGCTTTCCATTCGGAGGGATTATAACCTGAGCCAATATACCTTTGAACTTCGCCTTCAATATCGGATCTCTACCATCAGTAACGCATGTCCCATTGTCATAGCAAACCTGTGTCACGGAAGCTTTTACATCCCATTCTCCAGATCCAAGAGGACTCCAAAAATCGTCGCCCCTTAATGTGTCGTACTGCACAAAGTTTCGCGTATCGAAGTTTCCTACCAAGTTGTTTATAGAGGGCACATCAGCTTGAAACGTACCAGTGAATGTAAGCCGTGGATTAAAAAGGTAGTTTATATACGGGTTACCCTGATCTTGGAATAAAAGAAATAACTGAATTAGATGACGCTCGAGTGTGATCAAGATAGCATTATTATTGTAGAGTGTGTTGAAGTCGTTGCTTATCTAATGATTAGGTCTTGACTCAGGAAGCAATATCATCTAATCCTAACCTTTTTGTAAAGACGAGGACACGGATAGTTTTGCTTCAGCCATATTGTTGAGGGTCCCATTGATATATGTTATCAATAACGAAGCCAAGAGAGAATACCATAAGAAAATTACGAAAAAAAACTCGGTAAACCTCATTTTGCGGAATCGTGTTGCTCAAGGTCAAGCCAATATCATGTCGTTCAAGCTGTCAGACGTAATTTCACACTTGCATTACAAGATAATTTGACATAACACATGAACACACCTGGGCTTGGAGAACAAGGGTTGCAATAAGTCCATACAATGAAGTTGTAAAACTTTTAATTCGTAAAATTACATCAGTGCCTCGATGCTGCATCGTTTAATGACAACAACAATTTAATTGATAATCTATCGACATATCTGTCTGGTTATTGTTTAATTTTGGATTAGATACATTTGTATATTCTGTTACTTGTGGTTTGTTAGAGTGGTTTGCTTCATAAACCCGTGAAACAAATTGTAATAGTCAACTGTAATAAACTGATAATTTATTAAGCAATAAACAACTCATTTTCGTGCGTTCCTGAAGAAATAAAACACGCGGGATGAGGTTTATTTCACCAGGAACGCACGAAAATGTGTTCTTTATTGCTTTTATATTATAGCATTTTCGCATCCGTGCGTTTAACCACTCTATCCGTGAAATCATTTGTAAGTCTTTTTTTTAATGCCGTTTGAATAAGTTAAGGCATGTTTTACTGATTCTTAAAAGTATTCTCTTAAGATTTGTTTTCTGGTATATATTTTTTAGCCTGAGCTGTTTTCAAAAATCAAACTATGATAGCTGCCCTATGGCATAATAACGTCACAGTATGTTTACATTGTGGATAGATGCTCAGAAAGACTAGAAATTTGGACCTATTAAAATATTCTTTCCGAAAGATTTTTATTTGATATGCAGTCACTCTAATCCCCTCTAGTGACCATAATCCTTAGCGTTAAAGCAATAGAATGTTTTGGCGTGACGTAATTATGTGATAGAGCAATTTACCTCGCCTAAAATTACATAATAATTATGTAAGCATTTCACTGTTACTATGGTGACTTCACAAAGAT